TGAAAATGTTTTGGGATAGAAATGCTGTGCACGGCTGTGCAGGCCTCTGACAAAGCCAGCTGGCTGCTGGAAAGATGGAAAATCAACAACTGCACAAATCTGGCTGCTTCTTCCACAACTGTCGAGCTCTTAGGCAGTTGTAATAAGGTTATTGCATATTAATAAAATATAATACTAATTCAAGGTTATTCCAGCTAAAAACCTAGTAAATAATCTAACTTCTGATTTCCAAAAGCTTGCATATTTAAATAGCTGATGGATTTTTATATTTAGTATAGGATTAAGTTTTGAACTGTGATATTTACACAATCAAATCAGTAATCTACACTTTAAAAGCTCTTTCAGCACAAAAGACATTACTACAGTCTCCTATGTAAATATTTTAAGCATGGAATAGATTCTCCTCCTTTACCACTTTCTGCATCACCAGTCATTTTCGTGGACAAAATATTTCCAAATTCTTCAGAAGAATCACTTCCAGAACAGGGGTTAAGAGAGCTCTCCTCCATGCCTGGAGTAACACAGCCCTCCCTGCTGCAGATGGAGCTTGCTACATGTTTGGTGTGGGCCGAGGAGCCCACAGCTCATAAACAGGAAACAACCCACAACTCATTTTGAATTCCAATAAATATTTTGTGCTTTACTGCCTTTGGGACAGCGCTTGTGCATGAGTCAGGGCAAGATGAGGTGTTGATAAAAAGCTGAGTCAACCTGGCATGCCTCTCACTAGCAGCTGTGGCAAGTCCCTCAAAACGTGCATAGTCCCCAGGCAAAAGCCTGCATCCATTCCAACACCTTGCTCTAGAAAATTCTCCTGCAGCACTTGCATCATGTCACCTCAGCTGTGGTGAAATATGTAGGTGTTAAACTGGGAATTAGCCTGCTAAATCAACTGATTCTTGTGGCATTGGGTGTTGGCCAGCTTGGGACAGACCGTGAGCAGCTGTAGTTGTTGAGAAGTCGAACTGTGACCAGAACCAGTTTGAAACAGTCTGAAATGCTTTAAATCAATATAAGGCTTTTATTTACCTTCTGTTTTGCATGGTCAATATTGCCTTTTGCTGTCTGGTCCTGAGCCATGCCTTTGGGGGCTTTTCAGCCTCTGCTGTTACTGTTGTTTCTGCACCGAGTGCTCTGGTATTCAGGGCCATGTGCTAAACCCAAATTTATGAGAAATGTATGGAATTAAGTGTAGTGCTTGCTGCAGTAGTTTGGACCAAACCACCAAAACAGTGCTCTCTTCCCTTTCTAGGCCTCATTTAACTTCCCATTGGAAACATCTGAAGTGAGTCTTATTTTATCATCCCAGTACTGTGCCATTGACTACTCAGCTCACTAATTAAGTGAGATTCCCGATTAAATTTTGGGTTTGGTTGGTTGGTTGTTTTTTTTTTCTTCCCCACATGGAATGCAAACGTGAAAGCAAGCACGCATTTATATGATTTTGAGAAGTGTTTCGTAGAGCACAGATGGATGGGCACAACCACGGCCCCTCCTCGCCGGCCCTCAGGCAGGCGGCGCTCACCGCGCCCGCGGCAGCCGGGCCGCGCCTCCGACCGGCGGGGCTTTATGCGCCCCTCACCGAACGTCCCGGGGGCTCAGGCTCGACCCCCTCAGTCCCGTGTGCCGGTAAAAATGCGGGAGCACGGAGGGAACGGGAGCCGGGAGGTTGTGAGGGGGGTGAGGGAAGCGAGAAATGTGAGGGCACTGAGGAGTTCAAGGGAAGTAGAGGGATGTGAGGGCAATGTATGCAGTGAGGGGTGGGAGGGATGTGAAGGGAGTGAGGGCAGCGAGGGGCGTGAGGGCAGTGAACGGAGTGAAGGCATTGAGGGCAGTGAGGGGTGTGAGGGCAGTGAGGGGTGTGAGGGCAGTGAACGGGGTGAAGGCAGTGAAGAGTGCGAAGGAAAAATTAGGAGTGTGAGGGGTGTGAGGGCAGTGAACGGAGTGAAGGCAATGACGAGTGTGAGGGCAGCGAACGGAGTGAGGGCAGTGAGGAGCGTGAGGGCAATGAGGGGTATGAGGGCAGTGAACGGAGTGAGGAGTGTGAGGGCAGTGAGGAGTGTGAGGGCAGCGAACGGAGTGAAGGCAGTGAAGAGAGCGAAGGAAATGAGGAGTGTGGGGGGTGTGAGGGCAGTGAGGGGTGTGAGGGGAGCGGGGCCGCCCCCGCCCCGCCAATGGCGCACGGCCGCGGCGGGAGGTGTGTGCCGACCTCACTTCCGGGACCTGTCACCGGCCGCTCCCGCCCCGCTCCCGTTCCCTCCCCGCTCCTTCCCCGCTCCCGCTCCTTCCCCGCCGGCAGCCGGGGACACGGCTCGGCTCGGCCCCGCCCTGCGCGGCCCGTGGCAGCGATGCACGGTACTGCCTTAGGGGCGGCCTCTGCCCGCGCGGTGCCCGTGTCCCGGCCGGGGCGCCGGCAGGAGGCGGGAGCGCCCGCCCGGGGTTGGGTGACGCCCCCGGCTCGCTAACGCGGCGGCGGCTTTGCTAATGACCTGTCCTTTCCTCTCCTCCCCTCCCTGCCATTCGCTATTACTTATCTCTCCGGCGCCGCGCTGTGAAGCCCTCGGCGGAGCGGACAGCAGCAGCCGGAGGTAGCCGGCCCGGGGAGATGCTGTAGCGGCTCCCGCTGCTCGCTCGGAGCGGAGCCCTGGCCGGCTGCGGGAACGGGGCCGAGGGGCTGCGGGACGGGCAGAGCGCCGGCCCGGCGCAGGTAAAGAGACTCCCGGGAAGCCCACGGGGAGCGGGGTTTCAGGGCGCTGGAGGTGGGAACGGAGAAGGGGGTAATGCGAGGGGCTGTCACACGAGGGGCTGGTTGGCAACTGTCATGTGTCCCAAATGGAACATCTGGATTGCCCTTAACCTGGAATGAACTCGGGCACGAGGCAGAAAGTGCGTGCTTGGAGGTGCCCGCTGCTGGCTTGGCTCGGTCCGGCGGGCTGTGCTGTTCCCGGCCGGCTGGGCAGAGGAGGGTCCTCTGTCCCGAGGGCGAGGAGCAGGTCACTGGGAACGCCTCCTGGGCTTGTTCTGCGGTTTGCCGCCTTCTTGGTTGTCCCCGTGGGGCTGGATACTTGCTTTTCAAAAAGTATTCCCCGAGTAACAAAGGAAATGAGTTGGTAAAGGTGTTGCCTTGTATTCATATGAAGATTGGCCCAGTCTCACTCAATGACACGGGAAGCTGTTCCTAAGCTCTCTGATGGAAGTATGAGCACAGGATTCGTCACACAGGATTATCTGGAATGATAATGTTTGGCACTTTTGGCATTGGGTGTCTTAGTAGTACTGCACTAATAAAGGTGTTGCATAAGTTTTGTTGTGAAGGAAAATCGTGGTCAAACTCCTTGTATTACAGAACATGCACAGACTTTTCTCATTGGCACCTGGCTCTGCTCACCTATTAAAATTTGCTTTGCAGGCAGCAAAACGGATCAGCTGTAAAAACGATTTCCTTTGTAAATCCTGAATCATTGATGTAGCACTGAGGCTGCTACCTGGTCTCGTGCTGAACTGAGGCACTTGTGGTTCGTGTGATGTGGTCACACGTCTGCTGAACCCAAACCAGCACCGTAACTTCTGTTGGCTGGCATGAGCAGCCATCAGCTCCCAGTGGCTTTGAGTGGCAACTTTGGGAATTTCAAGTAATACAATGTAGTGCATGGGAAGGATGAGGGCATGCAGACCTTACCAGAGGTTTGTGGAACTCCCCAGACTGCATGCTTGCTGTCTCTTCCCATGTTTGGAAGGAACTCTTAGCATGGTCCAAAAAAACATTCTTATCAAGCTGTTGGTGCTTTATATTGACTGTCATCCTCTGCAGTCAGGTGCATGGGGAGTTTTGGCTACCTGCTGGAAACACCTTGTGGGTTTGTCACTTGCTTTTCAGTAGTTCTTTAGTGTCCTCATTTTCTGTTAATACTGTAGTCCTCATAAAGGGTATAATGAATTTTAAACCATGGAGAGAGGGTTACACTTCAGCTGTGATTTCGTGCTGTTATGCTTTTAGTATTTCGTGTGCAGAGTGTTATAAAAATATAAGGGACAATAATGTCCTACAGGAGAGTAGGATATATGGCCTAAGATGGTAATCTTGTTCTAAAAATGGATTCTAATGCTCACTGTTGCCCCAAGGAAACATAACTTTTCTAATTATTTTTTCAGAAGCAGCTTGAACTTCAAAATTACAAACAGCTCTATTATTGTCCTTACTTTTCTATAGCTTTCCTGATGAGATTTGGGTTCTGACTTCTGCTTCTGTTGCACATGTCATATTTTTGCAAGGGGGAAAACAGAAAACACCATACTTACCTTGGAAAACAAATGAAGTTGAATTCATATTTCTTAAATGTACAACCATATTTTCTTACATAATTTTGGAATTTAAACATATTTTAATCCACTTTTTCAAAACCTCTCTGCATCTCTAATTTGTTTGATATTTTTAGCTATATATGCTTTTTAAAAAATATATAGACCTTATAAAGTATATAAAACCAAAATCTCTACCTTTGAGATGTAAATCCTCAAAATAAAGGTCAATTGCAAACACATCTCATGGGGCTGTGTGTGCACCTTGGAAACTGTAACTGCTCTAAAGGTGTCCACAGAAAGACTTTGTGAGAATGCTCTTTAGGAGTAAAAGTATTTTACTCTATAACAGATAATTAAAATATCACAGGGCTGTCACTATAGTGTTCTCAGTTGAGTGGTTTTGAATTCTTTTAGTATGAAAGAAAAAAATCTGAATTATATTGGGATATACCAGTTATATTCCCTAGCTAGCTAGATGTCAGTGTGGTCCAGCTGTAAAACTAGGGACATATTAAAAAAACTCAGTCATTTAAAAATTATCTTAGCCCAAGAGAAATGAAAGCTTTTTTTTCAGAAGAAGCATAAAGAAATATTTTTCTTAAGTTATATTACATCATAGCCATGTAAAATCAGTATTTTAAGCCCTGGGGGATTTTATTGACACTTTTTTTTCTTTTAAGAATGTCAGCAGCTTTTTATTGATGAAGAACTGCTTGTTATCACCAATCTGCACATGAAATGGAAGGAGAAAAGATTCTGGAAAACAACTTCTGTTTCAGCCTTGCAAGATGCTGCTTGAAGGGGTGAGTACATACATGGACTGGGCACAGAATCTCTGTAAAAAGTGATTAATGTATAGTCAAATGACAAGGAAAGAAATCTGAGCATGTAGTGGCAATAAATAGCTGATAACCAGAAAATAGTAGTACAATCAGGAGAGCAAAGTCAAACTTCCTTATAGTCTGATATCTTATAGTCTGATATCTGCTGCTGTCTTAGGTGCTAGTCAGTAGAATTCTGAATTCTTAATATTCTAGAAGTAGAGTGCTCAGCATTTCAAAGGACCAGGTCTGTTAAATTAAATATTGAATGACATTTTATGAAGTAGAAGGCTGAATCTTTCACTGAGGTGGAAAGCCTGGTAAGTTTAGGCTCTTCATCATCACAATGCTCAAAGCTAAAATCTCTCCAAGAGTGTGATATTTGACGTGTTGTAAAGATACTCAAGTAATGTGAGACTGTTGTGTGACCAGATTGCATGTGGCATTGAGATGTTGCCAAATCTGACTCCACTTCCTCATACCACTTCTCATAGTTTCTGCTTATGAAACAATATTTATTTATAAGTGCACTGCATGTGTCTTTAAATATCTAAGAAGTGTAATTTCTGTGTCCAGTGAATCCTCTCGTGCACAGATTACTATAAATTATAAACCACAGCTCCCTGGCACTCTAATCCTGACTGAGGCTGGAGCTGTTACATGACTGGTTTGTGTTTAAGGCTTTGCTAAGTCGTAGAATGTGTGTAAGGTGTTAAAATATTTCATACTCTGGCAAGATGCAAACTACCAAAGAGGCACAGTTTGTCCTGTGGTGCTGTGTTCATCTAAATTTCTTGGTTTAAGTTCAAGTTGTCTCATGCCTGTGGAAACACTAAGAGTAGGAGAGATTGACAAGCATTTGGCAAATTACCTACCCCTTTCTAAAAATGCTGGTACACTGTCATGGGTTTTAAAAGATTAATAAACTGAGAAATTATTCCCTAAATCTTTCCAAATAGTAAAAGAAACTTGTTCCAAAATGTGTCTGCCTTGAGGAGCTCAGAGCAGAGAGCTGGAGTTGCACTGAGGTAGTGCAGCTCTTTGGCATGTTTCCAGGCAGATGAAATACATGTGAAAGCAAGTTAGTCCAATATTTTCATATTTCATATTTTTGTATCTCATGAGTTTGTTTGCATTTTGTTGAGAAGAATGTGGAAGGAAACCAGAGCTGCTGTTTGGAGTGCTGGTTGAACAAATCCTTGCTCATTTTTGAGTGTATAACATCCTGCAGCTGAGAGAACTTATCACGGTGAATGGTTTAGAGTTTGATGTATTTTAAATGGAAAAATAATTCTGCAATGACTTAATATTATCTACATTTAACAACAACAACAAAAGAAATCATAAAAGTGGATCATTTGAAACTATTCTACAGCCTGTGGTTAAGATCTGGAGGCAGGTCCTGCTGTTTTGTTGTGTATATCCATCCAGCATCCAGCACTCTTATGCTAAGTTCTATTACCTGAATATAGGTTTGTATTGCCATTCTTTGTTTTGTTTTGTTACACAAATTAGTGCTACATGCCTGCTTTGTTTTAAAAATCATTTACAGGAAATGATTGATATAACAAATCACAGAGCAAACCACTGAACATGAATGTTCAGAAGGTAAGAACAGCTCATGTTTTATTTGCAAAACCTTACTTGAAAGTGAAGGCTTGAATCACTGATGATGTTTGCTAGCCTGCTGTCAGTGTTACAGCTTCAGGAAGAGTGGTACAAAGTACCTGACACTGCAGGCATGGGGCAGGCTCCCATTAAACAAAACCAAACAAAGCCAAACCAAACTCTCTGGCATCTTTATTCAACATGTATGGAAAACATTCCCTGGAGTAGTAAGGCTGAAGAATATAATGTAGAACCAATTGGATGTGCAGCGGGGGAGAAGGGAGAAGGTGGCTGCTGTGTCAGGAGGCTGCTTTGGAGGCTCTTGTTAATTAGTGCCTGGTGGCTTTCTGTCCAACAGAGCAGAGGAATCCTCCAGTACAGCTGTCAATTAATTCCTACACTCTGATGTTAAAATACAATTAATTGCAGCCCACGGGACTGTTGGCTCATTGGCAGTTTTCAGTGGAAGATTACCAAAAGCCATATATATATATATTATATATATATATCTATATATACATATATACATAAAATATGTAAATATATAAATATATATATATATATATATACACACACATATTTTTTTTTAAATATATATATATATATAAAGTGCACACATGCTGTGTGCAGTTAAGCAGGCCAGTGTGATCAAATCAGGCAGCAGCTTTGTAAGTAAGAGACAAGCTTTAGTACCTATGTAAGTGAGAGACAAGCAGCACAGGGTTACTGCCTCTGAACAAAGCAGCAGCTGTACCTGTGGTTCTGTGCTGGGGATGTGCAGATGAAACTGTGCATAAACAGGCCAATATTTTCAGGATAAATATATCTTCTGGGCTCCTGATTTTCAGCATGTATGAATGAACACATAAATGCAAAAAAGAATGGGATGTCCTCTGTCGGTGGTTCCTGACAGCCCTACAAAGACAGGCTACAGCAAGAAGAAGTGTGGCTGCACAGCATGGCTGGATCTGATCTAGGCTCCTCCTTTCCCTCTCCCATCCATGCTCCTCTGTCCGTCCCGTTCGCTGCCCCTCGGTGGGTCTGCTCAGCTCTCTCTAGCTGTCCGTGGTTTTCCTGTGTTACCGATTCAGTGAATGGAGCTGTGTCTGCGCTGGGGAATTCAACTGGCCAGGGACTGTTGCCGGAGCTGGCCCGGAGTGTCGGGATGCAGGGAGGCAGAGCAGCGAGCGGTGCCCCGGGCCGGGCGCTCTCCTGGGAGCCTCTCAGGCCGCTCGGGGCCACAGCGGTGTCGGGCAGGCTCCGGGGCAGCTCCGGCCCGGGGCATTCACGGTGCCAGCGGGAGCCGGCAGCGCCAGAGCCAGCGCAGGCACCGGGCAGCAGCGCGGCTGGAAGGACAGAGGGACACGGCAGTGCCAGGGAGCTACTGAAGGGACATCCTTTTGGTGTGTGTTACTTAAGCTGACTTGGCTAGGTACCCTTAAAGTAACCTTGTTTTGCAGCCAGTAACTCTGCTTTGGAGAGGGACTGTGTGCTCTGTCCCCCATAACTGCTCTTGCAATGTCTGATTCAAGGCAGCTGAAATGCCTTACAAAGTGAAGTAAAACTGGAATATGAAAATACATACATTGTTTTTTAAAGAGATTTTATTTTCCTGGCTCTTCCATTGGACTCATATTCTTCCTCCACCTCTCTGCAGTTCAGATGCTTGCTTGCTTAGAAGGAGTGGGGTAGCAAATGTACAGCAGTGCTGGTATTGCTGTTAAACTGGGCACCAGATACCCATCACATCATAGAGGATGAGCAGGGAAAAATGCCAGGGAAACAATTGGGTATAGTTTGGCACTTTTTGATCGTGCAGGGAAACAATTGGGTGTAGTTTGGCACTTTTTGATCACGCAGGAGTGTGAGGCTTGTGATCTGCACACTGTAGTGAGTGACCTGATTTAGAGCTGTGAAGTCATGTGTCCCAAGTATATCCTCTATCTGACACGTCAGGAGCTTGCAAGTACAAGCACTTGATGTCCATTTGCCAAAAAATGTAGATTAATTGCATTCATGCCTGTTGCCAAGGCTCCTGTCAGTAACACTAACTCAGTGTAAACTTTGGTTTTGTGTGATACATTTATCACAAAGAAAAACTTCATAAGGTAGGAATGTCTGAATTGTCAGAATAAAACTAAAGGCCTTTCTCTTAGCAAAAAAAAGCAAAACCACAAACCAAAACCAACAAAAAGCCCAGCAAGAAAAAGTGAAAGAATTTTGTTTTGCATTCCACTCTAGTTGTGGCATGACATTAAATGGAAGTTAGTTTATTTTTAGCAGGTTTCATTTGTTTATTTACTTAAACGTAATAGCTGAGCAACAAGAGGAAAAGTATTTCTAATGAATGAGTAAAATTTTAGCACATTAAAGAATAAGTAAACTACACAACTTCAGGTGCTAGTTACAGAAGACATTGGATTTTTATGTGCAGGTAGAAGAGTGTAAAAGTTGGCCCATTGGAATGACTCAATTTTCAAAGACACTTGCAAGCAGAAGAGGCCTAAATTTGTAACATTTTGTGAGAGTCATTATTTTTTAAAGGATATAAATCCCTCTGCTAAGCTGAATTTAATTTATCAAATAAGTCATGTTATTATGTCTGCACAAGGGAATAAAGTTTATCAGGGAAATAAAACCACTGAAAATACACAGTGGTGGTGTTCTCTGCTAAGAAGGCGAATTCAGGCTTCTTGAATGTCTTCCAGAAACAGATGTAAATTCCACTGTAGCTTTTCAGCCAGTGAATAATCCTGGTCTGTTATGGGTGGTGATGAATCATGCAAGGAGCTGCAGATGGTGAGGGGGGTGCAGCTGTGCAGATGCTGGAGGAGCTGAGATGGGAGACTGGAGCACCAAGGGGGTGAAGGAGGTGACTTGGGATGGGTTCATATGGGTGAGAGAGGAGAGGGAAAGACAGCTGAAAGAATATTGAAAAGGACTGTCACCTGAGATTTGGGGTGGGGAGTGAGCTGGTGACTGAAAGGAGGTATTCTTGAGGAAGAAACATACATTTTTTGGAACAACATTTTTTGTTGTTATTGAGCTTGGAAGCAAAAATTGCAGTATCACATACCAAAGCAACATGTCTTTTGTCCTGAGCCAAAACGATAAGGAGCCCAAGCCAGAAGTTTAAGCTATAAATGAAAAGAGAAAACTAAGAAACTTCATGTCTCTCCTACTTTCCTTAAGTAGGAGAGCTTTTGTAGGAAAAGGTACAGATGCAAAGTTGTGGGCTTTTTTATTTCTATTTTTCTGAGCAGGACATGTGTAATGAGATCAGTGTGGCAAAAATTGGGAGTTTGTCAGATGGAGAAGTTGTATCTGTGTAAGTTAAAATCCAGTCAATATTTAGTCCCACTAAAAATGGGAGGTTGCAAGGCCTAATCATTAAATGGCAGGTAAGACTCAAATGGAACTTTTCATAATCTTAAATCAATGTGCTAAACACACCTTTCAAATTTTTGCATTAAGTAATTTCAATTTATCTTTTTCTTATTTTCCTCTCCTTGCAGATTGAAAGTTTTGTTCCAAAACAATAGCTCTTTATTCAGGAAGAATGTTGCCATTAAGATGTCTGCAAGAATTAGGGGGTGGTGCAGGCAAATGTCCAGATCAGTCTTGGAAGAGAGTTTTCCTCCAAAACTGAGAGCAATTTTCAGAATTGTTTTCTTACTCTTCTGGTCTGGTTACCTGTCAGGTTGTGCAGCATGGTCTGCTGTCCTGTGCCCCAGCCCAATAATTCTGAACCTACAAACCTTCTCAAATTACAGAGAGCAGTAATGGCTGCAAAGGCACTAAAGTTCTGGGAAGAGGAAAGGAAAACACATTATTGACCCTGCTGAGGAAGTGATGCAATGTGAATTCAGCAATTGTCTGTTCTGTTTGAGCTCTCAGTTTCCAGCCAGCACAGGAGGACAAGTGAGCTCAGGCTGAAGCAGCCTCAGTGTGTTTGTGATGCTTTGGGGGTGCCATGTGGGCAGGGGGCAGTAGTAAACACCTGTGTGAATGGTGGTTATCAAATCTGGGCACTGCCTCAGTGCTCCCAAACTTTTATTGTGCTGTTTAAACTCACAAAACCATATGCAGCTGCAAAAATTTCATTGCCAGTCAATAAACTCAAAATGAATTGGCATCTGTCATATATAATGCATGGCCTTGAATGAGGTTGTTGTATTTATGAATGAGTTGAAGTATCTATGTCATAGGAACAATCCATTGCTCTTCTTTTGAAGAATAAGCAAGGTTGAAATAATACAGGAAGGTTAAGTATGCTCAGAAAACAAAAGATTATGTCATTATTTCTTATGCTTCTCTTATAACATTTCAGCTAAAGACAAGTATTTTTATTTACAACACAGCAAGCATTCTAATTTCTAAAGAGCATGTTACTGCTATATGTTATGTTATAATATCTATATTATATATAGATGTTATGATAACATACTAAAGAATATGTTATTATCAAGAATATATACCACTTGCTATCACACACAAAGGTCTGCAGATAAAAACCAAAAGGGATTCCTATATCCTGTTTTGTAAGAACACATTTGAAGTTATCTGTACTTACACATGAACCCTAAATATTGTTGAAATACCATCAGTTTCAGAAAGTGCATCCAAGTGTTTGACTTTAAGTTAGTGGCAATTGGCTTTTTCTTTTCCTAAATATAGTATGCCTGAATTTTCACATTTCTAAGGAGGAGTTACTAGACAGTTATGCTTGTAAAAGTTATGATGTTTTCATTGACAAAACATTCATGTGTGTTATGTTTTTGTGGGTTTATTTGGTTTTGGGTGTTTTTATCAAGCATGTGAGCAAGTAAATCTTCTGAGTGAGAGGTTTATGTAGCAGCACCATCAATATGCCAAAAATTTTGCCTTGCACTGCATCTGTGTATATTAGATTATAATTTTAATTGACAATCTCAGTTGCACAGATGTCTTTAATTTGTTACCTTATGAAGTTTATTTTTACCATATGTAGTGAAAATGTA